GTGTGTGTGTGTGTGTGTGTGTGTGTGTGTGTGTGTGTGTGTGTGTGTGTGTTACAGCTGCAAACATCTGGACTCCAAACTGCAGCTGTGGCTCATTTCTCTGTCTCATTGTTCAACAGTGGGAGCAGAGCCGAGGACTCGGACATGACGACGAGGAGCAACAACCCGCCTGGCTTCTCCCTGAGTTTGCTGGCGGAGGAGGAGGCAGCGGCCGTGGAGAGCGCCGTCAGGGCGGCTGTGGACTCGGTGGTGGCGGTGATGCGCAGCGCCTGCAGCCGGGCGCTGCTGCAGCTCCAGAGGAGGCTGGAGGAGCGGGAGCTGGAGATCAGGAGGCTGGAAAACAAGTTGGAGCAAAGTGAGAGCGAAGTGAAGCTGCTGCAGGAGGAGGTGGAGAGGAGGCAGCCTGCAGTCCCAGCCTGTGGTGGGTCAAACCAGGAGGAGGAGGTGAACCGGAGCTGTGGGTTTGACCTGCGTTCATGCTCCTCATCATACTTTAGAGTTATTCCTTATCATTAGCGACTCTTCCAAAAAACTTCAAATACACCGTCGGTTGTTTTTCATTGTTTGTGGCAGAGTCAGAAAACTTTGTGCTCATCCTCCCTGGTTTATCTGCATCGACAATTTTATAGTCAATGTTTTTCATAAAATGAAACTGAATCGATTCGTTATCAGTCTAATTTCAATCTAATGTTCTTTCTATAGCTCATATTCACAAATAGAACAAGATGCAACATCCTCTGTTCTGAACCCTCAACACGAGTAACACGACCGAATAAACCCTATGAAACTAATGTTTCTCTATAACCAACTCTATGTCAACTTTTTCAGAGGTCCGTTAAGCAACCAACACAATCTTCAGGCCCAAGTTCATAACTTCTTTTCAAAATAAAAGCTCTGAAATTCAGCTCAATATGTAAAGCATGAAAAAAATGAAACCTGTGCTTGTACTTTTAAGACAAAGTTGCCAAACAGGAAGTGATGTTGTGAATGAAGCGGCTGTGTGTCTGTGTCAGTCCAATATGGACATGTGTTCAAATGGCAACAAAATGGACACTGCACGTCCCTGGACCATGAACAATACATATGTCAGGTGTGAAGCTGATAACAAGATAAACCTTCCACAGACATGCGTTGGTGGAATTTAGATGAGGTGACACATCTCCGCCCACTTATCTCTGCAGTTATCTGTTCATCAGGTGCTGGTGGAGCAACAGCCGCTCACCTTTCCCCGAAGCCCGATGACACAACAGAGGCCTTTACCCACCAGCATGCCCAGAATGGAGCTCCGTCATTGGAGGGTGAGGGAGAGGCTGGAGGCATCGCCTCCGTGATCAAGGAGGAACCTTCTGATCTGGAGCCGGTCATTAAATGGGAAGTGTGTGAGGGGAGTCCGCTGGACCAGCAGGAGGGGGATCCTGCAGCTGAACATCAGCGTCAAGGAACAGCTGCAATGAGAAGTAAGCTGCTGTCGTATCCGTCTGGATGAGAGAAGAACAACAGTGGTGGATCGGCTGGTGTTTGAAAAGTTAAATGTGCAAAAAATACAAATGAGGCTGTTGCAGTAGAAAATGCCGGAGTGGCTGCAATAAACACTGCGATGAATTCAGATGTATATTTTAATAATGTGTTTTATTTATTACGACAGGGGTTACAGCAAAGACACTTGACAAGTGTTTAAAAAGCAAAAGTAAATAAATTATCAGAAAATACACATCATCTATTTTCAACTCAATATTCACACAGAAATCTACACCCTCGAGAGTGCTCGAAACCACCCCTGTGGTATTTCCTGCAACAGTAGGTGTCTCAAAGACTATAATTTACCGTGACGACACACACACGCACGCACTCACAGTCATTTCTCCATGACCCACAATTCAATTTGGTCTTAGAAGATGATAAATGTGATTGTTTTTTTTATCCCTGATTCAACAATATAAACATTTTAATTTGCAGACACACTCGTTGATTTTGTGGCAAAAACTGCAAATTATCAGATGAACAAGCCGAAGACATTAGAGGAGGAAGACGAACCTGCTGCCAATCTGAAAAGGAGAGGGGGGTATAGATTTCTCCATCCTAAACATTTATATAAATATACAATTGAGTTACAGTGAACATTGTTTTTGAAGGTTTTATTATGGGCAAACATTAAAATGTCATAAAATGTAAAATTCTTTATTTTGAATCCAGGGAAAGGAACGGATGCCGCCAACCTGAGATGGAGGAAGAGGTGGTTGTTGGGAAGAAACCTTGTGTGACTCCTTCATCTGCACGAAAAACAACTGTTCCAAACAACAGTGTGAGCGATATCAGCTCACCACAGCCTCACTGGCAGAACAACAACGGCTCAGTCACTTCAAAGTTACTTGCACAAGAGCCATGTCAGCAGCCAACATACATCACCATGACAACCCCACAGCCTACATGCGACCGTAAGAGTTCAAAATCATTGTTATCACAAGTTATTCCAAAGTCAAGTTTATGTATGAGACAAAAAAGTTTAAAAAGTCAGTTCAGACTCAATAATCTGAGCTGGTTTACAGTAACATCAGTCACAGCTCGCAATAAGAATAAGGAATCTAAAGCTCCTAACAAAAAATGAAATTCATTGTTGTGTTTTATCTTCTGTTCTTCTTCTTTTTCTTTTTTAAAGCAATACTTCTAGAGGTCCTTGTTTCACTGGAGACCATCAAGCAACAAAACACAACTGTTCTTCAAATCCTGCAGTCAGGAAATTCACCCAGAGCGCCGCTCTCTGAACCTCCAGATGTCGGCACGCTTCCCCTTCCGCTCCAGTCGGTGCAGGACTTGAGATGTTTGGAACAGAGACTCTCTGCTGAGTCAGAGCTGAAGAAAAGAATGGTAAAAAAACGTTTCCTGTAAGGTTTGAAACATGATAAGGATAATGAAAGTAGCATAAACCCTCTAGTTCCTCTCATAAACTCATTTTCATTTATTAAAACTGGAATTAGACGTATTTTCTTCTATCAAACTCTAATCTGCAAAAAAAACCTCCAACTACTCTTTTGGTTTATAGTTCAAGAGGCTGCTGATTTGTATGTTTTGTGTTTCTTGATTGTAGAATGAAAGGTTGCAATTTTAAGTTTTAAGATCTTAAATCAGTCATATGCTATTTCTATCAGTCAAAATATTCAGACACGAATCACTGATTTCCAATTTTCCAGCTTTTGCTGTTTCCCCCTTGGACATTTTTTGAAATCTTAAATCGACATTCACATCTTATTTTGTGTAGAAAGCTACACACTGCATACATCAAATTAAGTAATGTCCACAACCTACCACTCTCCAGATCTCGTACCTCGGCCTGTCTGGAGGGATGACGACCAAAGAGAGCGTCTGGAGGATAATGGCCAAGCTCTTCACCAACACTTTGGCCAAAAACATCAACTGGAGGGGGAGAAATAACAAGCAGAAGATAGAGAACCTCACCATCAAAAGAGTCATCATCAGTGAGTGAGCTATAGTAAGAACAAACCTCTAAATCATGCAAAGAGTGGAATTTGGTGTGCAGGTTGCACCGGGAGGGGTGGAACTAGAGAAACTAGGTTGCCCTAGAAAGGCAGGCAGTGGGTGCAGTAACCTCTTTTCAAACTTGACCTACTTCCCTCCTCTCCTGCAGATGCAGTTCGGCAGAATTCGTTCTGCAAGGATGCCGTGGATGAGGAGATCGAGCGATTCATAAAGCGCTGGCTGCAGCTGGCAGGGGACAGAGATGGAGGACGAAAAAGACGACAGGAAAAGGGCAAGGAGTCCGCCAGCATGCAAGGTTACTGCATGGATGACATGTTTACTCATGTGATTGAGTAGTTTCAGAAATATCTGCAACACTAACTGTTTATATATATGACAGCGATTTTACTTTTATCGTCTAATGTTTAACTGGTAAGTGGTCTGAAATGACAGTAATAACAAAATACATTACAAATCACGTCTTTAGGCAAAGGAAGATGCATGAACACACACATACAACTGCACTTAGTGTTCCCTTTATCATATTTACTCTTGAACGTTAGGTTCAGTAGGTAAAATAAGTGTATACACTTCCTTTTCAATTCATAATTATTGACAAGAGTTGCACTATTAGCATTATTGCTTTTGTCTGTTTGGAGTTCTTTGCACTTATATTTAGATTTTTAATCATATCTGAATATTTGTTTATAATGTCAATCATATTTATTTTCACGCGAGAGAAGGTATTCATTGGTATTTGAACTTATCATCGGCATTGTTCAGTTGTTCTTGTCAGGGATGTTGTTTATAAAAATAAAAAAGGGTTGTTACACCTCTGCTGCAGGACGTGTATTTAAATAAGTGTTAAATTGATGACGTGTTATTTTTTATTTTAGATCCATCAAGGAGATTATGTTTTCAACTGTGTTTGTTTCTTAGTTAGATTAAACAAAAAATACTCAACCAATTTCCATGAGCTCATTCAATTTTTGATGCAGATAAATGTCGGAGGACGGATCCAGATTTTTTTGTTTTGCTTTCTTTAACATTGAGAGATGATTGAAAGGGTGTTTTTCTACACCTTCATTGATTTCGCCAAGAAAAATCTTAGATCTTGAAGTAAAAAAATATCCAAATAATACTCCAGATCAGGTGAATGTAAAATAAATTTATTATGTAAAATATGTATGCATAATGTTTAGATCTCTTCATTCCTAATTATGAGCTAATTGGCAGAAAAAACAAGCATTAGCATTTATGAAGTTGGCTCATATAGGTCACGAGTAGGCGAGCCGCGGTCGGGTAGAGCTTCTTTTTCAAGATAAACTGGGAACTAAGAGAAAAGGAGGTGGTAAAGATGTTTAGTTGTTAATATTTGTTGAGATTGTTTATATGTGAAATGTAGTTCAGAAAAAAAAGAAAAGGGGGAAACTCAAACCACCATTTTTATTTTTTCTAAAAATCAAGCACTTTATTTCATTGTTGTTTTATAATTTTTTTACTCGGTTGAGTTATTTCTCAACTGGAATCTTTTGAGTTTTAATAATTCGTTTTAATTTAACACCTCCTGGTTGAATTTCGATGCTTGTGACCTTGTGGCGTAAAGCCGGTAGGTGGCACTGTGGCCGCCAAACCGACGCCCGCTAACGCAGAAGAAGAACAACACGACACCGGAAGCAAACCTTCGACTCTTGCGCAGCGAGTTTTTGTGCAGCAGCGTCAACGTGTGTGTGTCGTGGTTTGTGTTGTTTCACGCAACAGTGTTGTGTGCACGTGCTCGATGTGACTTAAAGAGCGTGCGCGCGTGCTGGTGTCCCCAGAGAGCCGTGACGTCCCGCAGCCGCCTAGCATCCCCAGCTAGCCTGTTAGCTTCCCCAGCTAGCCTGTTAGCTTCCCCCAGTCACCGCCGCGGGCCCGAGTCGAACCATGAATTCGGTCCAGAGCAGAAGTTTCCCGACGAACCTGCGCGACGAGGAGACGGCGCTGGTGGAGAACGCCGTCAGGCTGGCGATAGACTCGATCCTGAACGCGCTGTCCGGCGTCCACAGCGCCAGGACCCGCGAGCACCAGCGGACGGTGGAGGACAGGGACAAAGAGATCCGCCGGCTGGAGCGCCGGCTGCGGGGGATCGAGCACGAGCTGCAGGTGCTCCGCCGGCAGGGGTGCACCTGCTCGCTGTTCGGGAACGAGCTCGGCCCCGGCGGGTCTCACACCTCCTCCGGGGACCGGCAGAGGGGAGAGCGGAGCGGGTTCGAACCAGGCTGCCTGGACCCGGAGGTGACCGCGGGGCAGCAGGAGTGTGAGATGAGCATTTCCGGTGAGTAGCGATGAGTGTTTGAACCATTACACCTCTCTGGACTTTTAAGAACTCACAACTACTTTTTACTCAGGGGCTCGAGTGAGCGTCCTCTCACCAGCTAGTTCTGAAGTGTCCTTGGGCAAGACACTAAAGCTCACACCGTCCCTTCTCACAGAGACAGTGCTGCACACAGATGCACTGAATGAATGAATGAATGTGTGGATGTGAAACTTTATAAATACTGACCAGTGACTTCTGCAGAGCCCCTGGAGATCATTTGTTCTTATCTTGTGGGAACAAGTTCTTTATTTTAGGAAGATGTTTGTGTTGTAATCCTTCAGATTCTCACCTGGGAATGTCACACTTTGACATTCTGGTCACAGGATTATCAGGAAGCAGTTGCAGGCCCAGCCGACAGAAGAACTGTGTCCCAGTCATAATATTCAAGAAACCCCTGAACAGCTTTAATGAACTCAGTGTGGAAATCTTCCAGACGTCTGGTGAGAAGGAGCCGGTCGTGTTCGTGGAGCCGTCGGCCTCCAAGAGGAAGATGAAGAAGAGCGGACCTGCCCAAACCGAGCCGGTCGTCCTCGTAGGTGCTGCCTCCTATGGAGAGACGTGGAGTCACTTTGGGCTTTTCATCCACCAGGAGAAGACGAAGCCAATCAGCGACCAGACTGACGCCACTCCTGCTCCTCCTGTGAAAACCTCAGTCACAGAGGAGGAGATCGAGACTCTGTCTGAGGTCATTACTGACAATTACCTAAACCGTGGCAGCTTGGTAGACACCACGAGAACTTTGGCGGAGCAAACTAGCTCCTCCTCGCTCCATGTGTTCGTCAGGTTAGCTGTGGAAACTTAGCGACTCCAGGAGCGAGATGTTGCTGCGTGAACTCAGGGAAGCTGCCGGCAGAGCAGGAAGTTAAAGGGCTGGAAGACATGATAGAAACATCTGTTTACATCGATGAGGAGGTGCCCAACATCTGGCTCTGCCTCACTGAGGTGATCCGCCCCGTGCCTCAGGAGGCGTCTCCGTTGATGAGCGCTTTGCTGAAACCCAGAGTGTCGTACCTCCTCGACAGGCTGCAGCGATGACTCAGTCCAACCTTCACCTCCTGCTCCGCTCCCTACTACCCCCCCCCCCACACCCTCATCCTCCCGCTCTAACCTTCCCCCACCCCTGTCCTCCTCCTACCCAACCCTTCGGTGTTCATCTGTGTTCTGGTTAAAATGATGCTAAAATAAGAAATGAATGAATGAATGTGATCTTTGGAGTTGAAGATGAAGTGGTCCTGGACTTTTTCAGAATGTATAACCATTAATATATGCAGTGTTTATTTATATAATTATTTATCAGTTTGTACCTGAAACACCATTTTTGTGTCTCTTTTCTCCACAGTGGGTCTTTTTGGGAGACCACCCTCACTCATCTCCTCCCAAAGCCCTGAGTCGGCTCCTCTGTCGTCCCCCAGCAGAATGTGCCTGGAGCAGGCCTGCGCCTCCCTCTCCTCTGAGACTTCAGGTGTATCGGACGCAGCCAGGCTTCTGCCTTCATCTCCCAGCAGCCTCGTGGTCAAGGAAGAGCCGTGTGACATCGACGCGGTTTTAATCAAGTGGGAAATGAGCGAGGAGAGATTCGGGGAGTGTCAGGAGAGCACAGGCAGTACATGTCAGGACGAAGAGAGCCTCGCTGTAAAAAGTAATTTATCCAACATATAATTCCTATTGTTTATAAATATGAACATGAGCATCAGGATCTGTTTGTTTGAATGTTGCTTCAGACGACTGAGGGCCCAACTTAAATAGAGTCATTAATTATTATTATAATTTTCTTATTTAAATCACATTTATGCACATTTCAAACTACTTCTATGTTTATTTTGTGTAGCAGCAAAATGTTTTCCAAAGTGGAGCATGTGATGGCGCTGGTGTTTTCACATTTCCAGACGTACACCCAACGATTTAGTGAAATGACGAAAAAACTGTTTCTGATCACTTTAGAAACACATGACAGCAGAGAGAGAGCAACATTCAGGGAGGAACCTCAAGTGGACAGAGGTGGACACCAGATCATAGAGGGAGAGCACCTGAGGTAAGTTACTGCATCGACACAGACACTGAAGTAACTCACGACCTCAGTGGCCTCATCAGGTGCTTTGGGGATTTTTAACCTCCACCAACTGAACAGATTGACCCAAAGCTTGGTTGAATTTTAGAATAAATATTGTCTGGCCAAAGATAATTCATAATTTCAAACAAAATATTTCTGTATTTTTACGACGCAGTTATTAAAACCAGAACGCTGCGATTCAAAGCGTGACGTCTTCTGGGGATAATCGGAAACGTTTCTGTAGTTATAGAGTCAAGAAGGATTTGACACTGAGACCAAACCGTTTATCCACACTGAGGCCGGACTTACACGCCCGTCAGTTGATAACAAGTCTTCATTCAGCATCACATGGTTCTATTAAGCTGCCTACAGCTGCACAAATTCTTTATTTACAGCTTAGAAGTTTGAGAGCATCAGATTAGTGATGGTGACATTAATCATAATAATATCCCGACAGTGACGAATACGCACCAGCAGACATTACTAACCTTGTAAAACATAAATCTGTTCATCCGTCAGTCATATTATCGGACTTGACGAAGGGTAACGTATTTTATTTGCCCATAGATGCTGAAATCAGAATAAAGCTGCATATCTCCTCCTGTGTTTGATCCTCTCTCACCTCTTGACCTCCTCAGGAACAGGAAGAAGGGCGTGCCGATGTCCGAGCTGCCGGAAGAGGCTCAGAGACTGAAGCGGGCGGCGTGGAGAGCAGCGTCCAGGCGTTACTACGCCAGAAAAATAGCCCGGCAACAGGGAAACCCCTCGCGCCGTAACCCCTTCCCCCACATTTCAGCGTCACAGTATTCACAGCCTCTCTCCTTCGTGGAGAAGAGGAGGAGGACGCTGGTATCTCATCTACCCGAAGAGTCTCAGCTGCTGCAGAGGGAGGCGTGGAGAGCCGCGTCCAGGAGGTACTACGCCCGGAAGAATGCCCGTCCCCAGATCGACCACGCGCAGTACGGACACCTGCTCCAGCACGTGGAGCCTTCTGGAGAGACGCAGGAACCTGACGGAGCCGGATCCCACAACAACAGCGAGGGAATCATGTGCAGCTGACACACGGATCATGTCTGTAGAGATGCTGCATATTTAAAACTTTACAACGCGTCGAAAACTGGACTGTGTGAATGATTTTATTTTTGTCATCGTGTTGATTTGTCTCAGGTGTTATGATCTGTTTTAACTTTAATCTCTGAACTCTTGACTCACGTTTGAAACTTTTCATAGTTGAATTATGCAACTAACTATATCTGTTTGATTTAGATTTTTATTTCAGTGTGAAACTAATGAGTCTTTTTTTTGGAAAACTCTGCATGTCTGTACAAAATGCATTAATATATTCCGAGGCAATATAAAGCTTTTTATATATTACACCTCACAGCCACTGTATAAGTGCAGTGCCCCCTAGAGCGGAAGATCTGTAACTACAATCAGCTGCAAGCTTAAATTATAAACTCGACATCTTTATATTAATAACAGGTGAAGAAATATTAGATTTGTTACTGTTACAAACTTGTCATTTTGTTAAATAATAAATAATTTCAATACTGCTGTGACATTGTTTCCCTGTTTGTTATCAAAGAACACTTGTTTCTTTTAGATGTTGAACCAATAATTTTTATTTGTGATTCAACAAATTATTAAATGCATTAAAACTACACAATATACATGCAAATCACACAAACCCATGAGTGAAGACAACCTTTTGGACATTATGCATGACAAAGGGACAATTCAATATATTTATTTATAATTTTATTTGAGAATATTCACACTGACATCAGACAAACAATATGGAATGGTTGTACGGTGAAGTCAGCAAATACTACTACTGTTTAATGAATGAGAGGAAGAAGAACCACGACATTTTGGTTTGATCTGTACCTCATCTCTTTGTGTTCTCTGCCTCCAGACCTCATCACTGTGGGTTTCGAACCGTCGACACGTCGCTCCACCTGCCAGCAGCTGAAAATAAAAACACACAACACACTCTTGCAACACGCAGGTTGTTTGTGTCTCTCTGGAACCTAAAGATAATAATTACGCTTTACCGCAGCGGCACTAATACGCACAGCTGATGTTGCACAAGTGTAGTTTGCTCCATGTGTGTCACGACCAGTGAGTGTTCATCTCTTCGCTGTGTGAAACATGATCTGTTTGACAGCTGCTGCGACAAATGCACCGAGAGAACAGGCGCGTGCGTCCTGCTCCGGCTGCAGAAGTAACCGCGACACTGATGCGCGTCTGTTGCGTGGTCCGAGCGATGACACGGACAATCCGGGCTGCAGATAATGAAGCCTTTGACATTTTTAACACGTGCTCGCCTTCATGCTCCCGTTTCTCCATCCCAGGCTGCAGAGAGGGAACAGGGCTTCACTTGTTCAGCTGCTGCCTGAGGCCGGAGGCTTCAGAGAGACAGAGAGAGACAGACAGAGACAGAGAGGGGACACGGGGTCTTTAACCTGCTGGAGGCTCAAGTCTGGGCACGCAGGGGAGATAACGCCCATCCTGTTTGTGGCTGTGTGCTGTTGTAATGTTGGACGTAAACATCGCAGCCATCTCAGGCTCGAGGGGGGAGCAGGATCCTCTAACGCTCTGCTGGCAGCTGCTGACACGATTTGCATGAAGCTTTGTTTTGGGACAAACAGCCTCAACCGTCCTTTCACCAACGACTTGGATTTTGCCTGAATGGTTTTTTAAAACATACAACTTATGAACAGGCTGATTTCTGTGCTACTGGAAATAATTTATCCGGATTCCAGCCTGGATGAAGGCGCAGACTGTGGCTCGTCGCTGGAGGACCTTTGCGCACTGGACGGTGCGTTTACAATCCAGATTAATGGCTGATGTTCATTAGACAGATACATATTTTTAATCTGTGATCGTTGCTACAGTTCTGTGAGTAGTATTTCGTTAATATTTAAGAAAATAACATTTAAATATGAGGAACTAATCACCTCACTGTCTACAGTGCCACTGCGCCATTTGGAACAATTCTCTCCTCGCTATTTGCTTCTTACTGGACTTTAAATTCGAATTTTTTTTAAGTGTAGCTTTCAATGATTGAGTACAACTGGTAGAATATATACAAATAAACGATTTAAATTACCTTTTATTCTGGATAAACTTCAGATTCTCCCCCTTGGAACCTTTTCAGGGCTCTTTGTGCCTTTGGATACACCTGCGCACTTTTGGAGATGCCCATAGGGTCCATAGATTTCTTTTTGTTCTGTTGGACTCTGCTCTCGAGAAAATATATCCCTTTGAGTTTTTTTTGCTCCAGTCCAAAAGAAAACGGTCTCATTGATTCTAAAATCCCAGCAGCAGAAGATCTGTAGCCTGTCAGAGATGCTCCAGGGTTTGGAAACGCACAAAACACAACTGAAAGTGTCTGAGAGCTCAGCTGCGCACCGACTGTGACTGGTTCATTAGAACCAACTGTATGACAACTGGATGGGCCAGAATAAGTTCAAACCATAGGGGTAGACCAAGGTGTATATGAGGAGTGGGTTTCACTGTTTAAAACCATTGTCAAGCTTTTTTTAAATGGCATTTTGGAGCTGGTGTCTTATTGGTGCCAAATTGGCCATTTGGGGGGTTTGGGGGCCTTTGGGGCCCTTTGAAAACGACCCTGTCCAATTTGATCACCCCTACATGTTCAGCATACATGGAAGTGTCCTTTTTTGCAGGGATTGCTGGGAAGAAGAAGGAGGTTGTCGAGGTTGGGACTCTAGTGAGGGAGGTTCAGGCCCAGCCACTGTGAAAAGGTAAGAAATCCTCTGTTCTGCTGGGGCCTGTGGTGCCCAATGTTGGCCCAGGGGCACACTGGGAGGGTGAGCTCCACGTTTGGGCAGAGAACCGGAGGTTTTCAGGTGTTTTGAGGTGTTTAGTGTGTGTTAGATATCAGGGAGGGCCAGTGTTGGGTGTGCATTAACGAGGAAACATGGAGGCACGGCTAGGGGGAGCCAGAGCTGGGCTGAGAGGCAGAGGCCTGGGCTGAGTGGAGAGCTGGTGTGTTTTAATTCTCACTAAACATGGAAGAACTCCGGGTGTCACCTGTGTGTCAGTCTTCCTGGTTATTATCGTCGTTGTTTGAAGTAAATGAGCCTGAAGGTTTCTGAGACTCGTGCTGTCTCACAGCCTGAGGTCTGCAAACACAACTCACTGAAAACACAGAAACTCATGGAAACAAGTAGAGAAAGTAGAAGTGAAGGAGTTCAGGAGTAAATGTGATCGGATGTAAACGCGTGTGTTTGGATCAGTCCTCAGCTCTGATCATAGAAAACATCCAAGATGGCTCCTCCACCGCAGCACACAGGTGAGACACTTCCTGATTCAACCTCAGCTCGTGTGCACAACAACAACACTCACTCTCACTTCACTTCACTGACTTTAAACTTTATTATTTGTATTTATATCTTCATTTACATTGAGTTTCTGCAGAGACTCATTAATACCAGAGCTGAGTCACTGAAACTCAACTTTAGGTTCTGGGACTGAGAAGTGGGAGTGTTCGTGTTCAGAGGCAGAACTGGCACCGAGCTGTGATTGGATAATCCACAGATCAGAAATCAATCAGGGGACGTAATTAACCCTTCAATTACTGGTAATCGAATCTAATAATTAGCATATTAATTGATTAATTAAAGAAGAAATCAACCCTTGGTGTAACTCAAAGCCATAAAAAATACATGTCATGATCTGGGTGATGGTTTTAGAATCAGAATCAGAATCAGAATCAGAATTCTTTTATTTGCCAAGTATGTTTGCACATACAGGAAATTGCCTTGGTGTCATTGGTGCACTACTTATGTACATAAAACAACAATATAAAAAACAACAATA